GGGGGGTGTTTGGGGCCATAGGGGGTGTTGGGGGTATAAATTTTTTATTTTCTTTTGCGGTTCGAGTGCTCGGACACGTAGGTACACGTGTCCGAGCCCCAACGCGCGAATTCTGTTCTTCGAAATTTGACCCGACGCCCCCGTTTTCTCGTTAAACGCGATTCAACGGGGGTCCCGAGGCCCGTTAAATGGGTGTTCGGGCATTGAATTCCGCCCGTTCTCCATTAAAAAGGTACACAGCCTATCAGTTTGTGTCGAAGCGACAGTCATCTAACTTAAGTACGCTAACAAACTATTAAAATTCATTCAGACTCAGATGCGAATAAGCAGTAGCCAAGTAGATTAGTTATCAATCAAACATTAAAACGACTCGTCCTTTAACATTGAACCAGCCATACATCAGATATCGATTAAGAAATATCACACACAGAACAGTTGGAGGAACCGTCCTGGATCCTCTATCCAGTTGTCATACAATTTCATCAACATATTTATTCAATTCAAATCATCATTCATCGTGCAGCTGAGCGGACACTCCTTGGTCCTCTATCCAATTACTTTTCAAACCATTCAATCATTATATAAAGTCTTCATGCGTGAAGCAATTAGATAGATACTCCGACCCTCTATCCAATTACGTTGCAAACCATTCAGACAAGAAGCTAGACGGAAACCTCGACTTTGTATCTTGTTACTTCTTAAACCATTCAAACATTATGTCAAATCTTCATGTATGCAGCAATGAAGCAACTGGACGGACATCCTGACCCTCTATTCAGTTATTTTTCAAACCATTCAAATATCATATCAAATCTTCATGCATGCAGGAACTGGAAGGACACCTCGACCCTCTATCCAACTACTCCGTTGCAAACCATTCAGACAAGAAGCTAGACGGAAACCTCGACTTTGTATCTTGTTACTTCTTAAACCATTCAAACACTATGTCAAATCTTCATGTATGCAGCAATGAAGCAACTGGACGGACATCCTGACCCTCTATTCAGTTATTTTTCAAACCATTTAAATATCATATCAAATCTTCATGCATGCAGGAACTGGAAGGACACCTCGACCCTCTATCCAACTACTCCTTAAATCAATCAGTCATCATATCAAATATTTATGCATGAGGCAACTGGACGGACATCCCAACTCTATCTAGTTACTTCTTATATCATTCAAAACATCATATTCAATCCTAGTACGTGAAGCAACTGGTTATACACCCTTACCCTCTATCCAGTTGCTTTGCAATACCATTCAACTCATTCAATCAAATCTAATCGTTGTTCATCGAGCAGTTGGACGGATACTTTTTGACCCTTTATCCAACAACTTTTTAAATACCATTCAAAATGCGGTTTCATCAGACAATTAGATCTCCATTCATCAAACAGTTAAAATATTATTAATTAAATAGTTAATACATCGCTAACCAAGCAGTCAGGTCATCAAACATGAAAGTGATTTGTCATCGAATCTCTATGTCACAATTTGTTAAATACCAAATGGATCTCAATCAATTAAGCATGAGGCTAACTAACCTAATTTTTAATATGCAACATTTTTTTCTAAGTAATCGACTGGCAATGAGGAATGTCAAGGGTAAGAGGTAATGAGATACTCATACACACAGTGTAGCACACCGAACATGTTCGGCGCCCTATCGAGCAGTCGAACATGTTCGGACGCTCGGCCGAGCAGGAAGCGAACATGCTCGGCCGAGCAGGAAGCGAACATGCTCGGCCGAGTGCAAATAGGGGGCTGCCGAGCGCGTCCTCATGTGTTTGTGGTGTGTACACTCTGTGTGAGGTGTATTTGGGGTGTGTATGTGTGTGTGCGTGTGTGTGGTGTGTGTGTGTGTGTGTGTTCAGGAGTGATGAGCAATGCACCCCAGGGCCATCCAACCCTTATATATATATAAAAATAACAAGTGGACCCGCTGCGGCCCCGCCCGCGGCGAGAAGGGCGAAGGTTGTGAGAGGCGAGGATGGGGGAGGTAAGGTAGTAGAAGTTGGGTGTGTCCCAACCCATCTTCTATCCCGACCTCCCGGCTCCTATCCCCTCCCCGATCCCGACCTCTCCCTCCTCTCTCGTCCCGATCTCCTCGTCCCGACCTCTGCCTCTCTCCCTTTCTTCTCCCGACCTCGACCTGCCCCCGTCTCCCATCGCTCCTGCGACCTGCCGCGACAAAAAAAATTAAATGAAAAAAAAAAAACGGCCGTCCCAGCTCTCCCTTCTTAATCCCGACCTGCCTCCCGGTCCTAACGTCCCCTTCGCGACTTCTCTCTCTCTTCCCTTGCTTCCCTGACCGCGTCCCGAACTGTCTCCCATTCCGACCTCGTCCCGAACGGTCTCCCATTCCGACCTCGTCCCGAACGGTCTCCCTCCTTTCTCGTATTTTGACCTCCCGACTCCCGTCCTATCCCAACTTCGACGTCGTCCCAACTCTCCCTCCCTGATGCCGACCAATCCTTCCTCTTCCGTCCCGATCTCCTCGTCCCGACCTCTCCCTCTTTCCCTTCGCTCTCCCGACCGCGACCTTCCGACCTGATCTCCTCGTCCCGATCCAACCTCTCCCTCCTCTCCCGTCTCGATTTCCTCGTCCCGATCTCTTCTTCTCTCCCTTTGCTCTCCCAACCGCGACCTGCTCCCGTCTCCCATCGCGACCGCGACCTCTCGCGACAAAAAACATTGAATCAAAAAAAGAAAAGCGGGCGTCTCAGCTCTCCCTCCCTAATCCCGACCTGTCCCTCCTCTGTTCACGTCTCCCATCCCAACCTCCCGGTCCCATCCCGACTTCCTGACTCCCTGATCCCGATGTTTCCCTCCTTTCTCCTATCCCGACCTTCCGACTCCCGTCCCATCCCAACCTCGACGTCGTCCTCTCCCGTCCCGATCTCCTCGTCCCGACCTCTCCCTCTCTCCCTCCGCTCTCCCGACCGCGATCTGCCGACCCGATCTCCTCGTCCCGACCTCTCCCTCTCTGCCTTTGCTCTCCTGACCGCGACCTGCTCCCGTCTCCCATCGCAATCCTGAAAAGTTTAAATAAAAAAAAAAAAAAACGGGCGTCCCAGCTCTCCCTCCTCTGTTCGCGTCTCGCATCCCAACCTCCCGATCCCAACCTCCCATCTCGACGTCCCCGTCCCGACTTCTCTCTCTCTCCCGCCGACCTCCCGACGCCCTGATCCCGACCTCCCGACTCCCATCCCATCCCGACCTTGACGTCGTCCTAACTCTCCCTCCTTGATCCCGACCTCTCCCTCCTCTCCCGTCCCGATCTCCTGTGTACCCAACCCATCTCCGATCCCGACCTCCCGACTCCCATCCCATCCCGACCTCGACATCGTCCCAACTCTCCCTCCCTGATCCCGACCTCTCCCTTCTCCCCCGTCCCGATCTCCTCGTCCCAACCTCTCCCTCACCTCCCGTTCCCAACCTCCCATCCCGACCTCCCCGTCCCGAGAGCAAGAATGCATGCTAGTTATATACGACCAGGTGGAGTTACTTCCCCCTTTCTCCCCTTGCTTCCCCGACCGCGTCCCAACCCGTCTCCCATCCCGACTTCCCGACTCCCCCGACTCCCGTCCCATCCCGACCTCGATCTTGTCCTGATCTCCTCGTCCCTCCCATCCCGACCGCGACCTCGCGCGACCAAAAAAAGTCAACCAAAAAAAAAGAAAAAGGGGGAAAAAAAAAAAACAATCAACTAACCTCCGTTCTCCCTCTCTGCCTTTGCTGTCCGGACTGCGACCTGCTCCCGTCTCCCATCGCGATCCTTCGTTCTCCCTCTCTGCCTTTGCTCTCCCGACCGCGACCTGCTCTCGTCTACCATCGCGATCGCGACCTCGCGCGACAAAGAAGTTTAAATAATAAACAAAAAAATGGGCGTCCCAGCTCTCCCTCAGAGTCCCTCTCTAATCCCAACCTCTCCCTCCTCTGTTCGTGTCTCGCGTCCCAACCTCCCGATCCCAACCTTCCATCTCGACGCCCGATCCCAACCTCCCATCTCGACGTCCCCGTCCTGACTTCTCTCTCGCCCCCCCCGACCTCCCAACTCCCTGATCCCGACCTCCCGACTCCCATCCCATCCCGACCTCGACGCCGTCCCAACTCTCCCTCCTTGATCCCGACCTCTCCCTCCTCTCCCGTCCCGATCTCCTGTGTCCCAACCCGTCTCCCATCCCGACCTCCCGACTCCCATCCCATCCCGACCTCGACNATCCCGACCTCTCCCTCCTCTCCCGTCCCGATCTCCTGTGTCCCAACCCGTCTCCCATCCCGACCTCCCGACTCCCATCCCATCCCGACCTCGACATCGTCCCAACTCTCCCTCACTGATCCCGACCTCTCCCTCCTCCCCCGTCCCGATCTCCTGGTTCCGACCTCTCCCTCACCTCCCGTCCCAGCATTCTGACTTCGTTGCTGCTGCTGCTGCTGCTATTGCTGAGCCTTTGCTGTTCCTGCTGCTGCTGCTATTGATGCTGCGGACTCCTGCTATTGCTGCTGTTGTTGCTATTGTTGCTGTTTGCTGCTGATACTGTTCTTGCTGCTAATGCTAATATGTTGACATTGTCACTGTTTGCTGCTGTTAACATTCCTGCTGCTACTGCTGCTGCTTCAGCTTTCTTTGTCCTCACTGCCTTAGCTGTTGATGCTGCTGCTCCGGCAGCCAAGTCCTGACATGTTACCGTTTCTGCATCTTGCTGCTGCTGCTGCTGCTTTCCCATGCTTGCTGATGCTCATGGCTGCTGCTGCTGTCGCTTCTGCCGGCAGAAGGTGTTCCCTGTTATCATTGTTGCTGCTTCTGCTAAGTTTGTCTTCATTTGCTTCTTTCATTCCCTCTGGGTTGCAACCATACTTCCGTCCCCTGCTTCATATCTGCCACGTGGCTTTGGCATACTAGAGAGCACAGTACGACCATAGACCACTAAACAATGACCGTCTGCAGGTCATGGCAGAGCTACTGCCGTCCGCGCATCTACTCATCACAGCTGTATGCAGTAGTGATATATGAACATGACTGTGTCGTTATGGTAGAGAACATCACAGCGGGACTGTCAGCGCACATGGTCTTGCAGGTGCAACAGTAGCATGCAGATGGCTGCATAGGCCATAACAATCTCAGACCCATAACTGCATGTATATGCATATTATGTATATATAATGCACTAGGGGAGTCAATGCTGTTCCTCCTTTGCTTCGCCATTTTTTTTCGTTTTTTTTTTTTTTTTTTGCTTCGGCCATCTTTTTAATATCTTTATTATTCTGACAAATAGGACACTGGGTCCCGTTCCCAGCATGCTTTGCTCCCCATGAGTAGATTGGAGCCTTTGTCCTTTCGAAGAAAGAAAGAGAAAAAGACAGCATACTGAGCATAGCGTAATAATTACTGATTACTGATTACTAATTACTAATTACTAATTACTAATTGCTAATTACTATGGTGGGGCCGGTGTATGACTCTGGCTGGCCTCCCTATGGCACCGGGCAGATTAAGGTGCACCCTTCGGGACTGCAGGGACTCCGCCATAGCTTGCACGGGAAGTGGGACTGGCACATGGAGGTGGGCTTTTTTGCTTTTTTCGCTTTAAAAAGGGCTACGGCCTTGCGATATCATCATGCAACTGACCAGCCCTAGCTATTCAGAATTGTCGCATGTTGTGTATTTATTTCAACGGTTCAGGGGTGTACAAACTGAGTTAGGACAGGGCTTTTTATTCTTTTGTTTCTTGCTCAGGGATCATTTTGGGCAGTTAAATTTCACTTCTTTTTTTTTTTCTTTTGTTTTTGAGGCCTTCATTATTAGGAGGAATTTGGAAATGTCTTGACGCAAAAACAAAATCAATAATTAGAGTACATATGCAGTTATGGGTCTGCGTAGGCAGAGAGGGAGAAGGGGACAGTAAACGAGGGCCTGTGACTGACTGTTTCACCGACTCATCAGGAGGCTATATATATCGTCACAAAGATATCAGAGCGCAAAATCGGAAAAAAAAACAAAAGGAAACAAGAAAGATATCAATTCATTTTTTATCTTCTTACTTACAACTCCCCCTGTTCAGAACCTCTGGCGTACAAGGCCGCCCACGTGGATGTGGTTGAGCGGCGGCTGCCCCCACCCCCGTGTGTCATATAGACCCACTTGCACACAGCCAAAAGGCAAAGATTGCATACATACGGTCCCGGTAAACCGTACACTATGGTTAAGCATCAATGACTGCCGACATGTATTTGACAATGTATCGTCCAACAGTTGTAGATCTCATGCTGCACCATACAACACCCTCTTATGCTATACAGGTTAGCGAAACAGGGTGTGGCACGGAGTTGTCGTATAAAGGATACCATTCACCATATTGGATGGCATAGAGTTGTAGAAAAAAGAAGCAATAATTTAAGAAGGGAATTCCTGTAACATAACAAATAATAATGATAATCAACGTAAAAGACAGTGCCGCTACGCCCGCACAAATGGAAAAAAAGAAACATATCAATGAGATATCCGGGGTCTAAATGTATATAATCTCTCTCTCTCTCTCTCTCTCTCTCTCTCTCTCTCTCTCTCTCTCTCTCTCTCTCTCTCTCTCTCTCTCTCT